TTAAATAGTCGTTGTAAAGAGATGGTAATACTTTTGCAATAATTATGTGACCTATTTGATTTAAAATGGAGTCAGGATTTTTTTATACTTTGGCAACTATGTCAACTTCGATCTCTGACGTAGATAATGACGTGCAACGGTATGTAAATTAGATGAAGTATATGACTTTCCTATTATTTCTATCAATATATAAACAGTCAAAGCATTTTCCGTCTGATACTCTAAATATATTGAGATAATGACTTATAATTGAAAATTTTTATTTTAGGCTTTCCACGAGAGGAAACCACGTTGGAAATTATGAAAACAATACCTGTACATTCATACAATAAAGAACAACGTATAAGATCTGCTGATGAAAAAACAAGAGAATGTGAAATTTATTTTCAGCAGTTTAGTTGTAAAAGTTCTTTAATTAAACATACGAAAATTCACACTGGGGAGAAACCTTACAAGTGTGAAATTTGTTCTGGGCAGTTTTCTTATGCAGGTACTTTAAAACATCATATGAGAAAGCATGAAACATCTTTTAAATGTGAAATTTGTTTTAAGCAGTTCTGTAGCAAATATTCTTTTAATTTACACATGAAAAGTCACGCTGGAGAGAAACCTCACACGTGCGAAATTTGTTTCACTCGGTTTTCTCGAGAAGGTTCTTTGAAAGTTCATATGAGATTGCACACTGGAGAAAAACCTTACACGTGCAAAATTTGTTTTAAACAATATACTCAAAAAAGTTGTTTGAATGCACATACAAAAGTTCACACTAGAGAAAAACCTTACAAGTGTGAAATTTGTTCAGGGCAGTTTTCTCATGCAGGTTCTTTAAAACATCATATGAGAATGCACACTGGAGAAACACCTTTTAAATGTGAAATTTGTTTTAAGCAGTTCTGTCGCAAATTTTCTTTGAATTTACACATGAAAGGTCACGCTGGAGAGAAACCTCACACATGCGAAATTTGTTTAACTCGTTTTTCTCAATTAGGTTCTTTGAAAGTTCATATGAGATCGCACACTGGGGAAAAAAATTACAAGTGCGAAATTTGTTTTAAGCAATATACTCGGAAAAATTCCTTAAATACACATACAAAAGTTCACACTGGAGAAAATCAGTACAAATGCGAAATTTGTTTCAAGAACTTTAGTCTAGAAATTCATTTGAAACAACATATAAGAACGCATACTGGGGAAAAACCTTATAAGTGTGAAATTTGTTCTGGGCAGTTTTCTCAGGCAGGTTCTTTAAAACACCATATGAGATTGCACACGGGAGCAACACCTTTCAAATGTGAAATTTGTTTTAAACAGTTCTCTCGCAAATTTTCTTTTGATGCACACGTGAATATTCACACTGGAGAGAAACCTCACAAGTGCGAAATTTGTTTTAAACAATATCCTCGGAAAAGTTCTTTGATTACACATACAAAACTTCACCATGAAGAAAAACATTAAAAGTGCTAAATTTGTTTCCAAGTACTTTGGTCTATAACAGAATCTGAAAGAACACATAACGTATGTCCCTAAAGTTTTCGGAAAATTTTAGATTTAAAAGTATTATTGGTAAGAAGCATTGGATCAAGTTGCCATTGGAAACCAAAGTTCGTAAACAACTTAAACGATATAAACAATGTCAGTTGTGACAAATACGGTTCGTTAAGATGTAATATTTCTGCGTCAACGATTTACCAGACAATTAAAATGGTATAGGGGAAATGTGCTTATGATGGACCCCTTAAGGAAAAAGCTCCATAATAATTTTAATTATTTACTTAGCAGGCTTTAAATATGACCACATAACGTCTTTTTAATTGTTTAATATGCAACTGTTTCAAATTTTGATAAAAATTAAGATGACAAAAGTTATTCATAGTTTACTAAAATCCTGGTAAGGGTCCATCATGGGCATATGTGCGCTCATGATGGGCTCTTTGATACGCTCATGATGGACCTGTTGCATTTTGTATAAAATAAGTAAATACCAAATTATTTTATTAAACCAAAAGATATCCTAAAAGTATTGTTAAGAAAAATGTTACATGCACAATTCACAAACAAATTGTTTACGTCCAGGATTTACATCTGCACATTTATTGTGACGCCAATTCTTACACACTTGATAACTAATCCATTTTTCTTTGTATTGCGAATGCAAGAATAGTTCGGTACAGTAAATGCAAGCTGCATCGTCCGAGTCGTCTTCTTCAAATGAAGATTCACAATCGTTTTCAGAACTGTTTGAAGTTGAAACACGAACTTGCCTTTTCACTTTTCTTGCGCCTTATTTCCTGTTTTGCTTCTTTTTCTGCAATTTTTTGTTTTATATCATCAATTTCTTGCGTAGCAAAAGGAGGACAAATATCTTCGACCGAGATGTTTAGGACTGACTATGATGTTGATTTCTGATCAGTGATTTTTGATAAACCTTCAATCGAAGAAACATTTTGGTTCCGATGTTCCGGTAGTGAGTTCTCGTCAGAACATCCTGGTAGTAGGTTTTGTTCATAATTTTCTCTTGTTATAGACGGCAAAAATTGCCAATCCTCGAAGACATCTAGATTAAACGGTTCTATTCCTGTCTTTTTAAGTGGGTAACTGTTTTACCTGGTTCTGTCGCAGAAATAATTAAATTTCTTGGCCGTGGTAAGTTTGAAGTGGTCTAAAAAATCCTACGTCCGAGGGTTGAACATGATGAGAGCAGTGAGCAGGAAAACAAAACATAATAATACCGTTTCTTTTGCAAACTGGAGAGCTTCAAAACTTTTATGACTACCATGACCATCGAGTAACAACAAAACTTGGTTGGTTTTAGAAGCCTTTGAATACCTTAAAAAATGTTGCAGCCAGAGACAGAAAATGTCGGAAGTCATCCATCCTTTTTATTGAGCGAAGGCTACACTTTCAGTAGGTGCATCGATCATAAGTTCGTCTTTCTTTCTCTGTCGAAGAAAAATCAAAGCAGGAGGAACATATGTTCCAATTGCATTCATTGCACATACGACCGTAACATGTAGACCATGCTCTGCACCACTTAAAGCACCAACTTATTTGCGACATTTAGATGCACATACGAAAGCTCACATTGAAGAAAAATCTCCATCATCATCAAATTTGGCTCGACAATCTTTTATGAATCTTGACCTGCTCTAAGATTTCGTCACCATTCTGTTTGGTCTCTGGCGATCTGTTGTCTACTTCTTCCTACAGGTGTTCCTGTGGTAAGCGTTTTAGCTATCTTGTTATGTGTTCAGCCTATTAAGTCGCTGTTTTAATGAACGTCTGGACATTAAAAGAGTGGTATAATTCAACGTTATTTATTTTGCGCCACTGCCCTTGGTCGTTTATAGCTCTAAATATTTTGTACTCGAATATTCCAAAAAGTGTTTGATCCTTCTGTTTCATGTGTAAGGACAGGCCTCAATAGTGTTTTGTATATAATAATTTTGGTTCTTTTTTGGATTTTTCTTGAGTGGAATTGTTTTTAGAGTCCATAGTATGCCCTATTTGTAAAATTTATTCGTCTTTTATTCCAAGGTATAGAAAACTGTAATACGTTCAAAGATATGACTTCCAAAGACTGTTTCCCGTTCCTCAGTTTTTGTTTTTGTCTTCATTAATGACTAGACTGACCTGTTTCGCCGCCGTTTACAATTCTAGGAATTATGGCCCAACATGTCTCTTGCTACATCATCACAATATGCTAAGATTTGTGCCAATTTATTGTAAATAGTACGGTCATCTCTAATTTGTGTTTCAGACTGCCTTTTCCAAGGCAATTCAGTGCTGTCAACCTGAGTGAAATTTCCCTTTTTGCGGGATTTTTTTTTTCACAAAAGGGAAGAGTTAACTTAAAAGAGAATATTTACTTCAGTGCAAATTGTAAAATATTTTTTAAAACAATTTAAAAGAATTAAACATATCTTTACCCCCTGGTAGTAATTGAAATGTTCCTATTGTTCTCCTATTTCTCAAGAATCTCAAGCTACTCATATAGTTGATCACTTGACGCCACTACGTGCAGATATTTTTCCAGACTCAAAAATCTGCCAAGATGTACAACTAGGAAGGACAAAATGTACAGAAATAATAAATAATGTAGTTGGAAATTACAAAACAAATTTACTTGTCATTGATTGATTTACGTGATGCGTCTTTTTAGGTGCTTGTTGATGAGACCACAGACATTAGTGCAAAAAAATTCATGTGCATTTTAGTTCGCTATACAAAACAATCTAAAGTAGTGACAAAACTTCTAGAGCTGGTCCAACTTAATGCTGCTGATTGTAGTGCGGTTCAACTGTTTAACGATTTTAAAAACTACCGAAAAACTGAACGATTTTAAAACGAAATACCTATCACAAATATAGTTGGTGTGGCTTGGGATAGAGCAAATGTGATGATAGGAAAAAGCAATTCTTTCTTTTCGCATTTAAAAAGTGAAATTCCAGACGTCATATTATTGCGCTGCATTTGCCATTACTCAGCTCTTGTTACCAGCAGTGAATGTGCAGAACTACCATCTTCGTATATTTCTGGAAGCGCAAAAAGATGTGCCATCCTACAAGAAATTCAAGAGCTTATGCAATTGGAAACAAACATTTTTCATTTTTCTTCAACACGTTGGCTTAGTCGTCATGCCTGCATTGTAAAGATTTTAGATTACTTGGAAGCTATCAAACAATTTTTTACTTTGGCAGTTTTTGAAGATAAATTAAAGTCAGCAGAAGATATTTTGAATGAAATGCATGACATGCGTTCTAAAGCTTATTTACTATTCCTTAAATAAGCTTCAGATTTTTTTAAACAATTTTAATGCTCTATTTCAGTCAAGAAAGCTATTAATTTATAAGCTGTTTGTGTATTGAATGTCAAGAATTCATTGGTAACATACCTCAAATTGAAAAAAAAAATGTGTTTACAATTTCACATCACTGTTGCAACCCAGATACAATCATAAGGTTACCACTTAATATATATTTTTTAGAAATTTACAATTTTAGATCCCCAAGTTGCATTTAATTTTAATAACCGCAATATATTTAATGTGAATATAAAAGAAGTGGCAAAAATTTATCCTAATCTCATTAATGCTACACAATTAAGTGTCGAGTGGCAACATTTGCCAAATACTTTTAATGAAATTGAAGTTTTAGAATTTATAAATATGTCAATTGAAGAAATGTGGCTTAAAATAATTGAAAATTTTAACGACGAAGGCTTATTTCCTAATTTAAAATATATAATAAATTTTGTACTTTCTTTGCCTCATTCTAACGCTGAGGCTCAAAAAATATTTTCAATGGTTAAGACACAAAATAAAAAAAACGTAGCCACATAGGTGCTAACCATTTAAATGCAATGTGTGTGCTATGAAGTAGCTTACAAAATTGCAATATAAACTGTACCAAGTACACAGTTCATGACGAGCATTTAAAATTGCGTAGTAAAAAAATGTACGATTTTAAAAATAAATAAAATTAAAATTGTAAATAGGCTAAGACTTTGACGTATTTTTAAAATGTTGTTAAAATATTTATGTTTTTAGGTTATGCTCTTTATACTTTTTTATGAAGGTTTATTTTTCTTTAATAAATATATTGTTTTGCAAATATACACATTCTTATTTCTGTTATAAAACCCATTTTGTAAAGCTGGGAAGAAGGGTAATTTTTAAGATAAGTTGAGGGAAAAAGCTTGTAAGAAGGTTGGCAACACTGGGCAATATTAAATAGAAGCGTTGATTGAATAATCCAAAAACCCAGAAAAGAAAAAAAAAGATATCGTACTGAATGTTCTAAACGCTGGTTATTAAAAAGAAATCATTTCTCCCATGTAAATTTGATGAATGAATTGAGATTTAAACCAACAGATTACAAGAATTATTTACGAATGGATGAAAAACTTTATTTGAAACTGTTAGCATTGATTACTCCGGTAATTACAAAGAAAAGATACTGTTATGGGGAAAGCAATATCAGCACGTGTGATACTATCAGTAACATTAAGATTTCTTGCAACAGAAAGAACATACGAGTGTCAAATATTCTGCTATTATATCACCTCAGGCTTTGGGCCGAATAATACCAGAAACATTTGATGCTATTTATGAAGCTCTGAAAGAGGACTACCTACAGACGAGTAGATAATTAAAACCAAATTCGAGTCGTTAGACAAGTTAAACATAATTATGGTAATAGCGGTAAGTTCTTCACCTAGTTTTATCTAAACCTTTAAATTGTTTTTAACTGTTTATTGCAACCATTTAAATTTGGTATTATTTGTTATTTGCACCTATGAGTTAAAGTTCATTTATCTTGCCAGAGCTATCGAAGGAATTGCTGGTATTAATTTAATTACTATTAATTCGTAATAGTACATTATTTGTTGAACCCCCCACAGGTAGGCACATAGTTTAATTAAACAATGAAATAATTAAATTAATTCCGAATTAAAATTTGGATAAAATGTCGCTGTTGTTGGTTGTGTGTTAAATTCTTCTTGTAGTACTGGTGTGAACTGACGTTTTGGTGCAGAAGTAGTTTGTTCTGAGTGTTATATTGTTGAATCAGTGATGTGTAGAGCTGATTTTGCGGTACAGGAGAAGTCGTGTACCTTTGTTGAGTGGTACATTGTTGTATCGGAGATACGCTTGGTTGTATTTGAGGCGCAACAGAAGCGGTGTGAGTATACAGTTGTGTATAATATTGTTGAACTAGTGAGGGCAAAGGACTTGGAGTTCGTAGGCGACTAGGAGGTGGTGAAGAAACATAAGTTAAACTTCGACGATTTTGAATTGCTTCGTTATTCAGATTGCTCATCTCGGCATCGAACAGGGTGTCGTTAATTATCTTCTCCGCAATCAAGCGTTGACGCTTGTCTAATGATCTTAATTTCATTGCGATAGATCTTCCTTCCCAAAAGATCGCACCGATCTTCTGCAGCGGAAGCAGAAGCAGGACGCTTAAAATGGTCTTTCACGGATAGTAATATGTCAGTGGTTAACTATCATTTTCTTTCTTCCTGGTCTAGTAGCAGGTAACGGAGTCTTTTTAGGTGGCGTAATATCGTCAATATTCACACTGAAGTAGCACTTGTGGTTATTTATAGTGCTTTGTCTGTGGTATTTTCAGTAGAGTTGTCAACATCCCGTAACAATACAAAGTAATATTTATTTTAGTTTCCAGATTCATCGGATAAATGGAAGCAAACCGAACAACTTTTTAAAGAGAGATTGAATTTTCCTAACTGCTTGGGTGCCATCGAGGGAAAACACATTGACATAGTTCCGCCTGCTGACAGTGGATCTCATTTTTACAACTACAAAAGACGACATAACATGGTTCTTATGGCAATAATTGATGCCAAATATAGATTTCTATTAGCAGATTTTGTACTAATGGAAGTTTCCGACGGAGGTGTTTTGCAGAATACACGGTTTTTTGAAAAGTTACAAATAAAACGTTTAAATCTTCCAAACTCCCAACCAATTCAACATAATTCAAGGTGTTTGCCATATATATATATATATATATATATATATATATATATATATATATATATATATATATATATATATATATATATATATATATATATATCTGTTTCTGATGATGCGTTCCCGTTGAGACCTGACATGCTGAAACTCTATCGTCAGGCGGATTTGAGCAGCTACGATAAAAAAAATTTAATTACAGATTATCACAAGCAACAAGAATAGCTGAATAGCAGATAGAAGAAACCACCCCATGAGAGTTTAAAACTGACAATAAATTGTGTTCTAATGTGGCATTGTGCTTGCGACTCGCCATTTTCGAAGAGCTTTCACCGTCGTAGACAAATAAAAACGACAGAATACACAACCCAACAAGAAGCGAAACGAAGGGCTTTTTCGTAATCCAAATTTCTGTGCGAATCCGCCGTCTCCTAAATAGTTCATCTTTCAACCTATAAAAATTAAAGTTTGTTTACATTTTAAGAAGTGTTGTTACTTGTATATACATATTTTTCGCGTAGCAGTTTCCAAAACCACAATTGTCATTTGGATCGCCAACCTTCGACAGGAGACGGTGCCATGAGAAGATACATATTTTTGCAATAAACTCATTGTGATTACTGCATGAAAAGGAGGATTTTATTGTGTTCTTCGTCAGTGCCCATCTAAATCTGGTGAAGAAATAAGTCTATTTTCAATACCGCGACATCGTAGCAGGTAAACAAATAAAATTTGAAATATAAACGCGTTACAAAAGTTATCTGAACATTGACATTTAGTTAAATACACTTCTTTTTTATTACTAAAATACTTTTATTATGTTAATTGGTTTGTTAAAAAAACAAATCGATATTTTTGACTTAAGGCCTTTTTACTAGCAGTACAGAATTGATATGTGGGTTATATTAAATTTTACAGAAAAAAATACAATTCATAGATCTACTTAAAAACATTAGTTTTAGTAATTACTTTGTTTCTCAGTGTAACTATAATTTTACTACTGTTTTGAACGACTTCCTCATTACTTTTCTTAGTGTACTAAGTAGTGCAACTGTCATTCTCCCTTGGAAATTTTTGTCCTAGGACACGGTTCGTAGACTTACTAGTAAGTCTAGGAACCGTGGTCCTAGGAACATCAAAGGTTCCGACAAAGCTTTCGCTTCTTGTTGGATAGTGTATTCGTATCTGATTCGTATTCTGTGATAAAAACTAAGAACTACGGCAGGCAAGCTCGCCGAACGCCACACACGCTAGGGTATGCTCATGATACTATAACAAAACATGTTTGTTATAGTATCAAAGAATATAGACGCTTATAGAAGAACAGTTCAAATGGACGATTTGGTTAGGGTTTACACTTTAAAACACATCTGGCAGTCGGCTTAAACTATCTCATAAAAGATATAGTTAGGGGAAAGTGGGAAAGGAGTACGAACGGAGCTATTTATTTAACTTTGCATCTACGATTAAAAAAAATCCCATGCTTTTTTTGTTTTTTTTTTTCACAATAAAATCTTTATTTTCAATATATTAAATTGTTAAATTTTGAATTTTGAAATTTAAAAAGGTATGATATTTACAATATTCAAAGCATTTATTTTTTACATTTTATAACTTTGAATTAAAAATAGGTTTGTTCCAACACAACGAAAAACCGTCACATAAATTTTTATTATACTGTTTTTCTGCCCAAAAATTAACGAAATATATTTTTAAAATATTTCGTTAACTTTTGGGTTAATTCAACCAAAAATTTGATTTTCTCAGGACTTTTCATTAAGCTTTTTAGACATGTTTCCATTATTCTGCAAAAAAAAACAGTGTTGTGTTTTACATTTTGTTATTTTATATTAAAAACAAAGAAGAAATTATTAAATTTAGAAAATTTGGAAATATTTAATTCCGGTGATTGATGACTTTATTGGTTGAATTAATTTTATAGTTAATAAGAAGAGAGTTCTTCTTATTAACTATAATATTATTTGTAGATTTGTACCTATTTAAATTAAAAATTCGAATCATAATATTTTTTCTAATATGATTCATTTATTAAAAGTTAAAATATTATTATTTTCTTTAAAAAATATTATAAAACGCAAAAATTTAATCCTATTCTACGGCCACGCGGCATTATGTGTTCGTAGTTCTCTGGCATTATACCTACATAAAAATATCTGTTGCATTTGTTGCCCCACTCTTTCATATTTTAAAAGCAATAATAGCGTTGACATGACCGCTCCCTTCTCGATCCACGATCCACCCTCTCATTCTTTTTCATAACGTGCGATCATCTTTTGCAATGTTATGGAATACTATGCGTTTATTTCTTCTCCGGACTAACTCTTTGTTTTGGAATTAAACAGAATATATTGACATGTATAAATTTATTATATTAGAGGATGAAAATTACACTGCCTGTTATTTCTTAAAACTATGAATTTATAAGTTCTGTTATCTACAATTATTTAACGATGTTTCTGGATGGATTTGAGTACAAGAGATTGGACTCAAATATTAATATTAAAATAGCAAATACGGATAGCTTATCGAACAAAGAAATAAGAGAAATAAATTATTATTATTCCATAGATACGAAGTATTAGGCGAATAAACTAGCGAAACTTATTTATTCTAAATAGGAAAATATTTATGAAGAGTATTGATTCTGATTTCTAACAGCAAATAATTATTAGTGATTATACATGAGAACTTTTCATAATTGTAAATAACATATACCAGGTGACTAAAAACTATATAGAAATACATAGATACTTTAATTATCTTACATGTGAGTAGGTAGGTACATTACACCTCCTTTTGTAAGAATGAAAATAATTGTAAAATGA